TGTTTGTCAGTGAATGCCCGAGTGCCTCATGTGCAGGGATTTGCTCTTTGAGCTTTGAGGGTCTACAAATGATAAACTTCTGAGCCGATTCTTCATCGTGACCCCCTTTGTTTTCATTGAGCGATGAGTCTCTTTCACACGAGACGAGGATCTTGTCGGGTGGGCACTGCAGAGGAACAAAATATCATATTTTCACCGAGTTCTGTCTTTGCTCTGCTCTCTGTCCCTCTTCATCTCCCTGCATCTGCCATCTCTCCCCCACACCCCCGTGTTGGAATATCTTCAGAGTGCGCGCCTCTGTTTTTTCATCAGGGTTATGAAAGCTGAGAGAGGGGGAAACAGATGAATAAAAAGAGAGGAATGAGATACTGTGCTGAGGCAATGTCACTGACTGAGAGCTCTGAGAAATGTACAAGGGAATAAGATTGGGAGCTGCTGCAGGAGAGCACAGATTTGAATCTTGTTTTTTGGGGATTCTCAGTCTCACCCCCCCTCCCTTTTGCAGTGTGGTGATTTTCATTTTTTCGCTTAGCCTGCTAGACTGTGCTATATTTCACTTTTCATGTCTGTTTCTCACCATCAGCGCCTCATGAGATATGCAAAGATGAGAACCTCCTCTCCATGTCGTGGAAGAGAGCCTCGGCTGGGGAAAACGGTCTACAACAAGTGTCCAACGAACGCCACTGGTCTGTACATCCCATACTAATGAGGGTGTCAGTTAGCTAGTTTTTAACTAGGCTGTGTGTTCATTTGTCAGTTTTAGTCTACGTAAATGAACAACTGTCAGCTGCTTCAATTGTTTAAAGCTGGTTTCATGGAAAAATATGGAAAAAACCTACAAAACTAGCTTAACTAGGCTAGCTAAGTAACAATGCACGCATTATCCATGCTAAAAACAAGCTGCTTAGAAGGAATGACACAAGTCAGGGCCTGGCCGCGGTGACTGTGTCAGGGAAGTGCATAAAGGGAGTGCAGCAGAGTAGAGCGAAGCCATCGCGGTGTGTGTGTGTGTTGTGCACACGCATGTGTGTGTGTTGTGTGTGTGTGTGTGTGTGTGTGTGTGCGTGCGTGTGTGTGTGTGTGTGTGCGTGTGTGTGTGTGTGTGTGTGTGTGTGTGTGTGTGTGTGTGTGTGTGTGTGTGTGCATGTGTGCGTGCATGTGTGTGTGTGTGTGTGTGTGTGTGTGTGTGTGTGTGTGTGTGTGTGTGTGTGTGCGTGTGTGTGTGTGTGCGTGTGTGTGCTGTGCGTGCGTGCATGTGTGTGTGCAAGCGTGCATGCATGTGCGCGTGTGTGTGTGTGTGTGTGTGGTGTGTGTGTGTGTGCATCATCTGTGTGCTGACAACAACTAGTTTCCTTAAATGATGTTGTATATGTTTATCAGCATTACTGAACTATCAAACATCAAATTCTGCACAGTCAGTCTTTTCTGTCTTTATGTCTCTTTTCTCACAGGGTCTGCTAGTCGTCGATGTATGCTGGACAATAGCGGAGTTTGCTTTCTGGGGTCCTCCGAGCTTCGCCAGATGCGTCTCAATTGAATATAGACAATTACATATAACTGTGAGTTCATTTTTACCACTGTTAGTCACTGAGCTTCTCTGTCGGTTTGCCTTTTCCATCAACATGAAGAAAGCACCTACCACTAGTCGCATCATCATCACGTGTCAGTGATCTGTTGTAGAAGATGTCCCTCTCTCCTGCAGTTAACTTCTCATCCATCCCATAACTCTAGTCAAAGACATGTAACAGCTTATTCAAAACCGTGGACACATGGAGTCTTTACTGAGGGCTAGCCACTATCTCTAATTAGCTTTTCCAGAGAGTTGCACTCACACTTATCAATTAATGAACATAGCTAATGAATGTGTTCATCAGGGAAACTCTTCTCCTGCTCTGTGACCCTTAACCTTTCCCCATCAACTGGAGGACGGAGATGAGGGTTGGGGATTATGTGTGACAGATCTGATTGTGCTCATAGCTTCTGTTCCCAACCTTTCATTAACACCAGGTTTCAATAATTAATTTTCTGTGATTGCTGTTATCTACCCCCCCCCCACCCACCCCCCCACCCCCCCCATGTTTATTCTACATTCAGCCTGTGCTCCACATGCAGCCACAGACTCTCTTTTCACACCTTGCTTTCAGGACCAAGCGTCTACTGGAGAGATGCTCGGCCCCCGTCTTGTTTCTCCACTTTAAGCATGAACACCAAAAACCCACCGCCCGTACATCAGTCTTGTGCCTTTGTGTCCCAACCAGAGCACCATTTGTCTTTCTTCATTAAAACACGAGGCCGTTTGTTTTAATGATTTTGTAAAAACATTTGCTTTCTTGTTATTTTGACCTTTTGTTTGAAAATCTTTATTTTTCATTTGGTTGTGGGATTTCTGCTGTTCCTGGTAACAGTGCACTGCTTGCTCTAAATAAGTGACAGGTCTGCACTGCAGGGAGGTCCTTTTAGCAGCTGGATTCCCATTATTATGAAGCCATGCTGTTGTAATGCAGACAATACAGCCACGGTGAAAAGGCGGCACAATGAATGTTTGCACATATCAGGGCATTAAATAAGATCATTGCCCCGTTTTAAAAATATATTTCTTTCTAAGCTCAAATGTAGTAAAACACAACAGATCTCATACCGAGCCCCATCTGCTGCTTCCATGGGGTTAAGGATCGGAAGGAGCTGCTGATGAAACGTTCTGATGAACCAATCATTAGTGAGACACTGGCTATTGACGAGGTGGAACCTGGTTCCTTTTCTCATGACTGTGACTTGGTGGAATAAGAAAGTTTCTTCCACTAGGTCAAAAGAAAAGCATGTATGGATGTCAGATTGTTCTCTATAAATGTCTTGGCTCTGAACAGTGCATTCACATATGCCACTCATGTCCTGAGCTCCACTCAGCCCATCTCCATATCGTGAAAACTAGCCAGATGGTTGGTCTTCTCTTCCACCTCCAGTTCATTCGGGTTAATCCGACCACAAAGCATTTCCAGTTTTCTACAGGAGCACAGACTTGTATGATGACGTTTCTCTGGATGATAATGCATGTGTCTGCCATCTAAAGTTAAACAGAAACTTCTGAGCAGTTTCTGAGAAAGAGAGAGTCAGACTTGTTGTTGTGTAGTAACAGGATTAGTTCACACGAAGCTAAAGCATGTTTATCGAGTCAACAATCGTGTCTGTTGTTATTAGGAGGACTGTAGCTTTAAAGGTCACAGCCGTCCACTGGGAGTTCTGTTATCATGTGTCGTAGACAGTGTCACGCTTTTAAAAATAATGTCCACAAACAATCTCTTTAATGCATGTTGGCAAAATAAACATTACATTGTTTTAATAAATCACACAAGAATAAGAGCGGGTAGATGACAAAATACTTTTATTAACACTAAATATAAAAATATATGATCCAACTACAACTCTGCCTTGTTTCTATTCCCTTTCACCAGCACCAGTAGTCTGGTAAACTCGACCGCTGTCTTTAACATAGGCGGTTTTGGCAAAGACCTTTTACATGTTATTAACATTGTGTTTCTGACATTTTTAAGAGACTTTTGGGGATTAAAGTGATGAATGAAGAACTAACATTCCCATTGGTCTAAGACGTTATTCATGTCCTTCAGTAATACACTTAACAGCTTGTCTGGAGGAAGCCAAGTGTGTTGCTCCCAGTTAGCTAATTATGTATTTTAACAAGATTGAGTTCAACTTTAGTGTAATAAATTACAAGCTCTTATCTGTTTCAGTAGTTTAACGCTGGGTCATGGAGAAACTAGCTAAACGAGGCTTTAGCCTTGTTTATGTGCTAACATGTACCTAGGAGCTTCAGTTATTTCTGAAGGGATATTCCACCCACAACTCACATTTTGTCTGTTGACATTTTTTACAGCGTTAGATAAGTGAGAAACAATCATATTTTTAATCACCCCAGTCATTCTCCTGACCCGGCTGTATTCCTTTAGCTTTAGCTTAGCATGAAACACAGTGAGTGAATGGATCCAACTAGCATTGTGGGTAAAACTGTCCTTAAAATCACTCAGTCGTTACTCCAATTCTGCTTGATGAACTAAATAATAAGACTGACTGAAAGTGAAAATGATTAGTAACATAAAGGAATCATGGACGCCATTTGATATTTTCTTCTTCTTCATTTTAGACTTGGGACTACTTTATGACAAAGCACAGCTGTAAGCCTCCACTGAAAGGTGCAAGGCAGCCCCAGACACCTACTTCTGTAAACACAGATGCACAATTTTGGGTGGAATATCCCTTTAAATGTTTGTTATTGATTTAATGAAACATTACCGTCTTATGTTCAGATGAGCCAGACAGATGGCTGCTTAAACGGTTCTGTTGGAGGTTTCTTCCTCTTTTCCTCTTCACTGTCACTACACGCTTGTTTAGTATGAGGATATATTTAAAGTCTCTGACACAACAAGTCAGTAGCTACATTTACATGCACCAAATTTCCCCTATCCAAAACAAATGTTGGTTGATGGGAAATCCCAAACCTCTCTCTCTATATATGGACACTAACCCTTAGGGCCCTACGCCTATTTTTGAGCAATATTCTCAAAAATGACATATCCATAATTAAATGAGAATATTTCTGGAACCAAAACGTCTATTTGATTACTTTTGGTCTCATTTTGTCTGGTTGAAAATATTTATTTAATTTTTGGGGGAGTTTTGTGGCATGACAGCTCTTGTGAAACTGTTTGTCCCCCAATTGGGGGGTGCTCTCGTTGGAAGGGCTAACTGAATTTATCTGATCATGCCGTGAGTATACAATCACCAAGCATTCAGTCAGGTTAAATAGGTGGAGCAAGCGCAGAGTTGTCTTTCCCATAAAACATTGCAAAAAAAATGTCATCTTGTTCGCACATCTTTCCCCTCGCATTTCATTTTCTTACACTCTAGCTTTGTTCGTTACTTGTTTCTCCGTTATGGACATTCTTCGCATGTGCTTTTGTTTATCTGAGTGCTTTAACTAAGCTACAGGCTCAGTGGTACGTAACGCTACTGCTCCCCACCCACAGGAGAGGATAGCAGGGTAAAGTACCAATGCTCACCCTCTCATACCGTCCTTCAGCTCCTCAGACTTGTCCTGAGCATCTGCAAAGGCAGAGTTGTCACGATGAAGTTTCACACATGCACAGTGGAAATTATATAACTCCAACTATTTGAATGGATGTGTATGTGGACGTCAATCGGGATGATAATGATAAGATGATGGGGCGACGGTGGCACAGGAGTTAAGTGCTCGCCCCGTAATCGGAAGGTTGCAGGTTCGAGCCCCGCTCAGTCTGTCGCTGTCGTTGTGTCCTTGGGCAAGACACTTAACCCACGTTGCCTCCTGGTGGTGGTCGGAGGGACCGGTGGCGCCAGTGCTCTGCAGCCTCGCCTCTGTCAGTGCGCCCCAGGGCAGCTGTGGCTACATTGTAGCTCATCCCCACCAGTGTGTGGATGTGTGTGTGAATGGGTGAATGACTGATTGTGTTGTAAAGCGCCTTGGGGGGGTTCCAGGACTCTAGAAGGCGCTATATCAAATACAGGCCATTTACCATTTACCATGATGATGATGATGATGATGATGATGATGATGACAAAACCACATTTTCATTCCGATTGGGCCGTATCAGATCAGAAAATTCCGAATGACATGTTTACATGATGAATTTTTGGTCTGATAGGGCGTTCATTCCGAACGTGCCCACATAAAAGTAACTAGTGACTCGATGAAATGTCCTTGATTTCCTTACATATGAAGCTTTTAACTAACTGGTGTGATGAACTAAAACAATAATAATAAAATAAAAAAAGCAATAAAAAGACAATGAAGTGCACTTGTAATGTCAAACTGTTTTAGGGGCAACATTTCTAGTAATTTCTGGTCTCATGTAAGCATCAAACAGCCTCAGATGCAAGACCATAGAGGAAAAAGCCACTAGACTTCTGACTAAACAGCAGCAGACAAAAAAGCTTTCAGATGGAGGTGCCTCAGAGGGACGCTACCTTCAGATGGCTCCGCTGTGGCCGAGTTGTTGTGGTCGCACATCATTACCATGTGGACGTGGCAGAACTAGTGATTCAGACTAACAACAACACCACTAAGTGAAAGCAATTCTCCCTTTTCTCTGTAAAAGTTGTATTAAGTAGTGGTTAGGTTGTGAAATTTATATAATGCTAAGTGTTAGGAGCCTGAGTCCTACACCCTTCCACTTTCACACATTGACAATGTATACAGACAACAATCCAGTCATCACCTGACCACGGTCGGGAGCTGTTTTCCGTTCCTACGTCTGATTTAGCATTGATGCTTTTCCTCTGTGGTCTGACATCCAGACACCTTTTTTATTAAATGTCTGTTTTCCTGAGACCTCAGGATGTTCTTGAATATAAAATATGAGGGAAGCTTGGTAAAAATAAGCAAAACACATGCATGTACATTTATAGTAGAGGAACCATTTGGTCCTGGCTGCACTTGGGCTACTTGTTAGCCTGTTAGCTCATCAGCCCTGTAGCATGTAAACTGTTTAAAACAAGGCTGTTGAGGAGGCTATCTACAATGGGTCAGCCACTTATTCCAGCCTTTATAAAGACGCTTACTCCAAAATGGCTGCAGTATCCATATAAGGTTTGCTGCAGTTTGCAGATTGTGGAATTTTGAATGAAGAAACCATTTCCTTTTTACAATGTTTAACGCTAGTTTCAGTTTTTAATTGTATGGTAACATTTTGACTGATGAGATCACCTTGCATGCTATGGTTCTTGAATTTTCTAACATTTTCTATTTCTTCACTCATCATAGTTACGAGAACATCTTGCGAAGGGTCAGAGGACCCTGGCTGGGGAGGGCATGTCTCAGATCGTACGGAGTCTCCTGGACCTCTTGCAGAGGAGGAGCTACTACAGTGGCGACCTTCTCTTCTCCACGGAGATCCTGCGAAATGTGACGGACACCTTCAAAAGAGCAACCTACATCCCAGCTCCCGACGACATGCAGGTGGGCAGAACCTTTTCGCTGACTTGGACTAAACAGACACGTACCACACACACCGATACTGGCAAGCAGGGTGGGGGGCAGTTATAGTAGACATGTTTTGACAGTAAAAGACTTTTGTGTTCAGAAATTCTTCCAGATTGTCAGCCACATGTTGGACTTGGAAAATGTTGAGAAATGGGAGGACGCTCACCAGGTAGGCCCTCCCTGAATGTGTCAGACATGTTGCTTCTGGTTGTGTGGTTCCATCTTAATGCATGTTTGCTGCTGTTTCCTTTGTTCTGTTGTCCTTGCTACATCTGTAAAACACGTTTTATACAATGTTCATCCATTTGAGCATGCATGTTTATATGAACTTTTGCACTGTTACGATCCATGTAAACTCCCTTCATTTGTGAAATTCTGTGTCCTCGTCACCTGGATGTAGCTAATAACACCCCAGCAGGGTATTTTGTTTCAAATAATCACCATTTCTAGCCTAAATGGTCTCTCTAATAAACACCATTGTGTTGACGGATGAGTCATTCCACATAAGAAAGTCGACATTGGATTTTAATCACGCCATCATGATCATTCTCACCTTTCAGTTGTTGTCTTCCTATCCACAGGTCGCTCCCGGCGCTGCTTTGCTGATGAGAATTTTAGAAGATTTTATTCACCTCATCGGAGAAGCCCAGAAGCCTTTTCAGAGTTTCCTAGTGGTTACTAACAACCTGAGTAAGTCCATCTCCTGCATAGCACGTGTCAAAAACATTTACGGTGGGATGCGAAAGTCTGGGCAGCCTTCATGCTTTTCCTGTATAAATAATTTAAAGGATTTAAAGAAAGTGTGAAATAATTGTTTAAACAAAATTAGACAGGTGCATACATTTGGGAACTGTTGTCAATAACCTTCAGAACTAATTATTGGGACTAAACATTCAGTTCATTTCTTTTTTATGCACCTGTCTAATTTTGTTTAAACGTTGCACACTTGCTGTAACTCCTATAAACTCTGCTTCACTTCTCAAACATCACTGTATGTGTCTTATATGATTTAATTTACTGAAGTTTTTCATCCAAACAACCAATAGCATAGCATAGCATAGTTTATTTATATAGCACGGTTAAAATGCAGCATGGGAGCTGCCCAAAGTTCTGCACAGGCTAAAACAAAACACACCATTACAAGGAGCTAAAACAAAGGATAAAAATCTCAATTAAAAGCAGAGAAAACATGATGAATACTAAGAGCACATTAAAACAATGACACAATAAAACACTAAAACGAGTCACTGTCTAAAAGCCAAAGTGTAAAAGTGGGTCTTTAAACGAGATTTAAAAACCGCCAGAGATGGAGCCTGCCGAACTCCAATGGGCAATGAGTTCCATAGCTTTGGGGCAGCATGGACAAATGCTTGATCCCCCCGCGATTTGAGTCTCATCCGCGGCGTGTGCAGCAGCAAAAGGTCAGCCGACCTCACGAGCGGGTGGGCACATATGGAGTGAGAAGGGCAGAGAGGTAGGAAGGTATCAGGTCATTGAGTGCTTTAAAAACAAAAGTCAGTAACTTAAACTGCACTCTGAAAATGACAGGGAGCCAGTGAAGAAGTCCAGGACAGGGGTAATGTGGCTACGTCGGTGTGTACCCGTCAATGATTTATACAGGAAAATCATGAAGCCTAACAAGGCTCCCAAACTTTTGCATCCCAATGTATATTTCTACTACAGTCTTTGATGATGACATTCATTATTTAGGGTGTTCTAGGACGTTGTGCCAGATCTTAGGGATGAGTTTTTTTAATCAGTCAGTTGTCTGGAATATTTAGGGTTATGTCTGTATGATGACCATGTTTAAGACCATTTTTTACTTTAGAAACGTTTTACTGACCATCCTTATTTTCACCGTTTTGTCTGTCCTTTAACAAGCTTTAGATGTTTAAGTCTTGATTTTGCTCTACTGAGGTTTAATGGTGTGTTTGGTGTCTCTGGCTTGTTCAGTGATTACCATTCAGAGAGAGCCAGTGTCGGCTGTCTCAAGTGATATCAACTTTCCCATGAAAGGACGAAGAGGGATGAAGGACTGGGCTAGAACAGCAGAGGATAAGCTTTATATCCCCAAAGAAGTCTTTACCAGCCCGACTGAAGGTAAAACATTCAAGATAGACTTGCTCCTTGTTGGGCACTTTGTGGCTTAGCTGAATTCACCTCATTGTGTTTGGGTCCCGGGGCCATAAAACATGCTTGGTTGAATTTGTTTGAAGGTGCTCTTTAAAACAGTCTGCCTACACTTGCTGACAAGCAAATAAATAAAAACTCTGTCTAACCCAGAGTGCCTGTGCCCACATTCGATTTTAAACTGCACCTAGTCACTGAGGGTTCTGGGGGTGGGGGTGCCATCAGCTGGTGTAGGCTAGACAATGGTCTGCATTGAGCAGAGATACCTGCTCATAATTACTCCAGCAGAACAGGGCTAGATCTGGTGTCCAGGTGAGTAGGGTCTGTATGGGGAGTGTGAGTGTTTGTATGATGTATACATTCTTGTAAGTCAGGAGTGGGCAATCCCAGTCCTCGAGGGCTGCTGTCCAGCAGGTTTTACTTGTTTCTCTGCTTAAACACACCTGGTTTGAATCTACTAGTGATTAACAGGCTGCTGCAGAGCCTGATGAGCTGCTGTAAGGTGATTCATCCAGGAATCAGGTGTGATGGGGCAGGTAAACAACTAAACTCTGCTGGATAGCGGCCCTCGGTGACCAGGATTGCCCAAGCCTTTTGTAAGTCTTTAGGTCGTATGTGTAAATGTGAGCATGACATGAATTCTTATTACTTAACATCCAGACAGGACAGTAGAAAAAAAAAGAGTTGAACATACCGTAGTATTGTTTATTATAAAACTGATTTTTTTTAAATAAATCAGCACTTAACAGGAGGAGCTACAGAAAGGTAACATTTCACTAGACCAAATTATTCAAATGTTAATTAGTGATATGAAACAAGACACAATCAACTAAAATTTTAAACTGCAAATAGAAACACCTGTAAAGGCTTCCTGAGTCTTTAAATGATCTCTCGGTGTCTCTCATTGTAGTTGAAATACTGAAATGTGTGCAGTTTTGTACTACACACACACACACACACACACACACACACACACACACACATACATATATATATATATATATATATATATATATATATATATATATATATATATATATATATATATATATATATATATATATATATATGTATGTATGTATGTGTGTGTATATGTATGTAAGTATGTAAAGGATGGGTAGTTTGCATCTTACTTATGAACCATAAAACATGAGATTCCATAGAAATATGAAATATCAATCTGATGGATCTTTGAATATTTTTACCAGAAGATCAGAACTTTTTATTGCAGGGATTAAGTGACACTTCGTATTAACTCCAAGGAAAGAGAGAGAGTCAGGTTTATAATAGTTAAGAAATGTATTTCTACACATTTTAAACGAGACCAACTTAAACACTCTGTGTACTGATGGACTAAGGTGGAGTGAGACGTGAAATGTTGATGGTGTGTGTGGAATGTTATTCAGAACCAGCGGATCCGGAGAAGCTGTTAGTTCTGAGTGGGAGTGAATGTTTCGCTCTAAACTTTAGTAGGAGATTTATAACACACATGAAACGCCATCTGTTGGTCTACGTACCCCAGGGGAAGCCTCCGTTTAGATCCAGAATGTCGAGGTCCTCTTGGACCCTCCTTGGAACCGAAGCCGGTAGAAAAGCAGCGGTGCCGACCAAACTAGTCTTGGAATGCTTCCATGTCACAACAGGTTCATTGGCGCCAGTGAGATCCTGAAGGGGTTGTGAGGTTCAGCTTTTATTCTGAAGGAACCGTTGCGGTCAGTTGTAACTTGCAACAGATTTTATCAAGCTTGTCGAGGTTCTTTTGGCTGAAGAGGAAGTCCGGATGGCCTGTCCAAGACTTCTCTAGAATGCTTTGAAATGAAGAAAAGGTGGCGTGGAATAGTTTTTATAATTGTCATATTTTGGTTTACTGTCGAATCAGAATTTGACATGCAAAAAGAGAGGGTTTATACAAACACCACAGAGAACCATGCCTCGCGTCAGAAACGAGGGTTCTGATTGGATCAGACAAAAGGAAATGTGTCGTGTGGCTTTAGCATTACGTGTCATTTAGTGTCTAGTGCAAATATCCGAGACTATAATACCGGTAACTTGTAAAATACTACTATCACAAGATTATAATATCAAGTAATAACGTTGTCATTTCACAGATTGATTGAACATTGAGCTCACATTATTATTGGTAATAACAAAGTTGTTGATTATGTGTTTATCAAGAGAGTTCATCGTCTTCGTCTTGAGCTGTAAAAGGCGAAGCAGTTCAGATGAGCAGAGTGCATGAAAGACCTTGGCCACTATCTCATGTAGATTAGGCTGTCAGAGACTTTATGTCTCTGCTCGAGCAGACGCAGCAGATCATGACCTTTAGATCAAAAACAGGGCATTCATGACACACACACACACACACACACACACACACACATATATATATATATATATATATATATATATATATATATATATATATATATATATATATATATATATAATAAGTGTGTTGAAACAGAGAAACTTCTAAGACATGCTGGATAGACGATCTCGAGGGCCAGGGTTGGACACACCTGTTCTATATAAATATAGAATATCAACCTGCTTGGTCTTTGGATGTTTAATCAGAAGATTCTAGGATTTTTTGCTTTTTCAGGGATCAAACACACTTCAGAGTCAGGTTTATAAAAGATAAGAAATTTATTTTCTGAACAGATTAAAAACAAGACAAGTTAAGATGACTGTGATGGGTGAATCTAAGTGGATGGGATGTGATGCATGGTGATTGAATGGTGTGTGTTCATCAGAACCTTGTGTTAACCTTGTGTGTTAACATCAAACCCTCAGAACATCACGCCTTCTTTCAGGTACAGGATGCTCTGATTTGTGGTTAAGAAAACATCTATATGCAGTGACATTAACTTTAACTTATCTCTAATGAACATTGTGTGTAGATAATGATTCACTTGTTTAACCAAACTTTACTGATCATCATATATACATCTTTCAATGTAATAATAATATTCATTTCAACTTCAGTAATTCAAGCACAGATTAATCAAAACATTATTACTATTCATCAACCATTATTGTTCATTCAACCATATGATTATTTACTATTGTTACGGTTCAGTCCTTTATGCTGTGCAGGACAGCTTAGATAAGCAGACAGGCTTGGCAAAGAACAACCTTGGGAAGGGAACATGATGTTGACAATCTGAATGTAAACACGCAGTGTCAAATCTTTTCCTGTAGCTTGAAAGATTAAGAGACGCACAGAGGCAGATTTATGTCTGTAGATGACCGGTGGCATGTAGGTCAATCTTGTAGGTGAAAACTGACCATTCCTGGACGTTACAAAAGGCTATTTTGATTTAAATGTTACTAGAATTGGGACTCATTTGAGTTCATTAAGAAGCTGATTCATCTGTGTGCAGCATAGTAGCTAAAAGCAGCTTCACCCTGTTTGGTTCTGACCCGGGCTTCTACCAGCTGGCTGTTTCTAAAGGATCTCAAAACCCTGCTGGGCTTATATACCTGAAGGAGATCCGACATGCATTCTGGCCCCATGCTATTGAGAGATGTATAAACTAGTTGAAGTACTTTGAAATAAACTCTGTAGTTTACTGGTAACCAGCGTAGAGATCTAAGAACAGGAGTGATGTGCTCGGTTCTCTTGGTTCTTGTTAAGACTAGCAGCATCATTCCGAGCAAGCTGCAGTTGCTTCACATCTTTTTGGGGAAGACCAGTCAAAAGACCATTCCAATAGTCCTGCCTGCTGTAGATGAACACATGAATGAGTTTCTCTAGGTCTTGTCTGGACATGAGACCTCTGAGTCGTGCTATTTGATGAAGATGGTAAAACGCTGATTTAGTTATAGCCTTAATGTAACCAGTGAAGCTCAGGTCTGAATCCATTATGACACCAAGATTTCTAACCTGGGTCTTTATTCCTCTGGAGCCAAGCCGAGCAGTAACCTCCATCCTATCCTTCTGATTTCCAGTTTAACTGGAGGAAGTTTGACTGCATCCAGTCATTAACGGACACTGATAGAGTGAGTCGAGGGGACCACAGTTACTGTAGATGTGGGTGTCATCTGCATAACTGTGATAGGTAATGTTGTTATTGTGTATGACCTGACCCGGGGGAGCATGTAGAGATTGAGCCTTGGGGTTAGAGGGTTAGAAGTGCAGCTTGATGATTTTTATTGATACATAGGGCATCAATTGTGAACTTTTATGGCCCCAATTTGGGGTCCTCTAGCTTAAAGGGGTACATTTTTAATGCATACATTTTAAAATTAATTAATCGATATTGTGTTGTTAAATTACAACCCCTATTTTTTTGTCTTGGCTCGTTATCCTTTTATGTGTGGTGAGCCTTAACAACATACAAGCAAACGGCCTGTTTAATGTAACATGTAGCCAATCAGAAACTTGATAAAGCCTCTCTTCATTATTGTTATTTATTTATTTATTTTTTTGTCTCTCAAATGGAGGTAGTTCCAGGTAATCTCCATTGCCTCCTCCTCGTGCTCCATGTTTGTTTACTCCAAAGTCAGGTTTGATTTGATATGCTTACATGATTTTGTCTTCGTCCTTGATGCTAGACTATGCACTAGTGTAGACTTAATAAACTATTTGGTTTTCTTTGATATTTTGGCAAATTAGGTGTTTTTCATAGCCTGATCTTAATATTTCTCTCATAGTACACAATTGAACACATATGTTTTTATTTGTCAGTGTCAGACTAATAAAGTAAAATAATGTCCTCTGTGCAGATTGTTGTAGTGAAAACCGTCTCAAGGAGGCTGGATGAAGGTCTCTGAAGGATGTTAAAGGCGAGTGCTGAGAAGCATTTGGAGTGTGAAATGGCCCTAGAGGGCTTCTCACGAAGATGCACGCCTTTTATGTATATGAAAGTTCTCTGTATCCTCTTGAAAGCATCAAGTCTTCATTCCATTTTGCAGATGGCAGCTCACTTGGAGAAACACACGAGCGTTACAAGCAGTTAGTAAGATCG